CCTTCCCAGAACCATTATTTTAAGGATAATAAGGGCGATAGCAGGCAAAGAAAAAAAGACCCTCTTGCCTTTCATGATGAAACTTGGCTTACTGAGTGCATTTGTTTGCTTTTCTGATTTATTTTCTTTTGATCAGAACCATCTGACCCTCATGTTTAAAGGAATGTTCTTTGCAGTTTTGAAGTCTGCCTATTATAACATCAGTTCTGCAACCTGCAGTGAAAGGAGCAGGCAGATGCATACTCAGCTGATACTTAACAAATCTGTCTCTCTTGGCATGCAGAATCCACACCTGGAGCATATCAGCAGTATCCTTGGTCCCTATGCAGGGGGTAAAATTCCAGGTTGCAAAGTTATAATTCTCTCAATTTGTCAGAATTTTCATGTGCAAAATACTGTACACAGTTTTCTTGCGTGCACCTTTCCTCTTAGTGTTTGGAATGGCAGCTTTCGTGCTCAGTTTGAAATACATTTTCCTTTCCTCTGCATGAAAAATACTCCCAGCCTCTCCATTACACATGCTGTTTTTAAAGGCAAAACCAAAAATACTGGATGCTAAGGGAAGCGCACCCAGCAGCATAAGAAAAATGTGCTAACAAGTCAGCCAGTATACACCCATTTCATGCACAGAACCGAGATCAATGCTTTAGCAGTGAGATCATGCAGGCTTTGGGAGGAAACAAAGAGAACCGAGATGGGGATTGCTGTGTTACGTGGGCTCCATATTTTATGTTTCTAAGATCTCCACTGTCAGGACAGAGCAGTAGACAGTTTGTGTTTAGTTTATTACAGAATGTCAGAGTAGAGAGAGTAGTAGTTACTTTCTTGGGGCCATGTTTCTTGTTCTTTGAGGGTGCAGTTTCAGTTGTCAGTCAAGTTGGCCTAAGTTGGCTCTGCCTCCAAATAATATCATCTTGCCCCTTTCATTTTGTAGGCAGTCATGATTGCATAGTTGGTCATCGAGATGAGATGACTGAAATGTAAAGTTTTTTTTTTTTTCCCCCTTGCCGTATCAGCTCCATGATCTGGCCGGTTGCTATGTTAAGGCTCATTTGGTTCAAGAAAGGGAGCAAGAGCAGGAGATGACAGGTCCACAGCTTTTGACATCGGAACAGGTTACTGATTTAGTAGATTATGAAACAATACCTTCCCTGCTAACTTCTGATTAGTATTGAAAGAGTCCATTTATGCTTGAAGTTCTATTGGCTTTCCAAGTATTAAGTTCTTATGAAAAACACATCACTGCAGTTGCAAAAAGAGTCAGAAAGCACCGATTTCCTGTTTGCTGGCAAATGAGCTCTCCTTTTCTGTTGATGTGAACCCTCTTGATTTTGCCAAAATATGATTTTCCAATGGACCAAAATAAATCAGAATACAGTTTCAGACAAGATCTTGTCCCATGAGTTTTTGGTAATTCAGCTGTCATTTAGGTACCTAAACTGGGAGTTGAGCTAATTTGGAAAATTTAGGACAAATTTTTGGTAGTGAACCATGAAAATGTACCGCCTTCTTTGTGAAGGGATTACTAGTCAGAAAGAATAGACTTGTCATGAAAATTGCTGCTTCAGGTTTGAAATTCCTGGCTCTTAATTCAGAAGCTAACCTCTGAAAATTCCAGAAACTTTTCAGACAGCCATTCACCAGGTATTTAGTTGTATAAGTACACTCTTCTCTTGATTTCTGGTTTAAATTGTTCTCATTAAGGAGTTACTTCTGATTTATGGGACTCTGAGATTAGAAACTGTCCCTGATAATGTTTATCCTTGTGTAGTTTATCTCCAATTGTGTAAGTTGCTCATGTAAACAAATAATGTGTTAAATGAGTGTGGTTGTGGGTTTAGCAGATTTCTAACACGAACTCATGCAGGCAATACTAGAGAGGGCTGTGCTAACTACACAGAGGTTTTACTGCAGTCAGTGACCAGGTACTGCTCTGGAAACAATTCCTAGCATCTTATTTCACTATCAGACGTAAAATAGGTCACCTTGTGGCTTTGAATTCTGTAGTGAATCTGTTCAGGTGACCTCACAGCAGCATCCTACAATCTGGCATGATGGTTTGAAGCAGCAACAATTTCTTCACAGCACAAACCTGCCACTGCCCTTCCTGGTTTTCCTTTGAAGTAGGTCAAGTCTATGAACTGCTAAGACTCTGTGGACCCCTCATTTATTTTACCATTCTAGCTTCCAGAATACAGAGTAGAGAGATCAGCTACTTCATTCTGTCTGAGCACTAGCAGCGTAGGTGCAGAAAACACAGGTAGTACATGCTAGGCCTAAATCAGAAAGGCTCTCAGTAGCATTGTACTTCAACTTGAAGAGGATAATCTGCAAAGGGAAGGTCTTAAGACAGTGGTTTCCATTCCATTGTTTACAAATTATTCTTTTCATCCCTGTTCTCTCATTTTTCTTTGTTTTTCTGGAAGTGTTACTGTTGTATCATCTGTTTTAACAGATTATGTAAACTGTGTAACCGCATTGAAGGTTTAACTTGGGGCTATCTCAGTCTGCACAGCTCCAGGAGAAACCTTTATGTCCAGGAGAGTCACCTGGGATGCCGTACTCAGAGAGGGCCTACTCGGAGCACAAAGGTGCCGGTGGAATCGTGTTGAGGGAGAGGGGGCAAGAGACAGGGAGACTACTCCAATGCATTTTGGTCATGGGTAGACAAATCCTGTGAAGACTGGAATAACTGAAAAAAATCTCTGGCTTTATCTGCATGTTTCTAACTGGGGTACAGGACATCCAGCATCTCCTCCCTAACTGACCTGGATGTACTGGAACTGTCTTGTATTTGTCTCATTGCAGTCTCACTTGAACCTTAGAGGGTTAGAAATGAATTCTAGTTACCTAAACTTCACTGATTTTCCCATAAATACCTGTGTGGCAGACTTTCCATTCTGGACATCATACAGACATGGTTTTCATAAGAAAATTACTTTCAGTAAAACAGAAGTATCATTATTTAACCCAAGTAAGGAAAAAAATAATCTATATTGATTGATCAGTGATAGAATCATCTTCAGGTAGCAAGAGGCTGAATGTATATGACAATCTTAGTTGCAGAGAGGTTAGAATTACAATGGAAATATATTTCATCTATATGTTTTGGCATTGCGCTGTCAGTTGAAGCCTTTTTTTTTTTAAGTTAATAAATGTTCGGTCTGTTTTATCTTGTGTATACATTTGTGTGTGTGTGCACATAAGCTTTGATCTCAAGCATATTGTTTGGGGAAATACAAGAACTTTCAGCAAAAGGTGTTCAGATTCACTCCAAATAATAGACAGAATTTTAACTAGGACTCGTGTTAGTGGTGATACTCTCTCATACTGGTACCTGGCAGGCTCAATCCTGAAGCCTGACCTTGACACCTATTTGTACTTCGTATGTGTATTTCTCATGTAGTGATCATCTTGTTGTATAACTAGTCTCTATTGTTCTGACGTGTATGGGTTCACACATAGCCCAAGGCTTTAATAGCCTTATATACAATTATTTGGAATCGTTGCCCCTGTGTCCAAAAGAAGACTAGCAGAAATAAAAAAGCAATAGATTTTTTTTTTTTTTTCCCCCCATTTCTTTGATGTTTCATGGTTTGGCTAAGACCTTTCTAGTTTTTCCTTTGAGTTGCTACCACACAGCTTTTCACACAGACCTCTTTGGAACTGTTCTTTGATGTCTAGGCTATTTAAGCCAAAATTCTGTTCATTTTTTCCTGGTGGCAGCTTCTTCACAGCGAATACATTAATTAAAATTTGTGCTTGTCAAAGACTGTGACTTCAGGTTTTTTGCCTTAGGAGAATGAATCTTTTCTTTAGCCCAACTAGACTATCACAGTACAGCCAGAGACAGACAGTATGGATTCTGAGATGTAAAAAACAAAGTCTCACCTTGAGAGCATCAGTTTAAGCCTTATCGTGCTTCTGTGCCCTTGTATGGGCACATGGTTTATAATAGTGCTGTTCCCCAACATCTGCCATATTGAATAGATTTGAGCAATTATTATTTTATACTCTAGATGGTACAAATAGAAATAGCTGTCAGAATTGTCCATGTCATTTTCTATCAGTCTGACACAAGAGCTGAAAAGTTCTTCAAGCTAAAAGATAGTTAGGATGGAAAGGTGGGGAGCATTCTGCTGCTCTCATGTTGATGATTTTTCTGTCCCACTGCCAAACTTTTCAAAAATCCTCATTTACTGTTTTTTTTTTTTTTTTTTTTTTAATCTTTTATTACTGTTTCTTATTAAGATCCTGCTTAATACAAGCATTGTTTCACTGCTTCAAGCGGATGACCTAAGGAGATCTGCAAGCAGTCTTCAAAGTTAAAATTTGGAGCAAAATCTGGATGATATTTAACAGAAAATCCATGTGTAATTAAGTCCTAGGGCCTTACTGGAGTGTCTGTCACTGAGTTCTGGGGGTTTTTTTCTTCTTTTTTTATTTGCTTCTCAAAGAAAGATCTTTTAACATCTTTGAGTTGGACTTACGAGCTGGTAAAAACAAGTACAAAGTGTTACCGCTGTTTTGTTTCATTTTTTTATTTATAGCAAGGGAAAGCAAAGTTTCCTGTTAGAACAGATATTCTCAGGATTCACTAGTGAGTATTGGGTGAGAAACCTAAAGCAAACATGTATAACTTTGTCACTGATATGGTTGTGACTATGTCCCAAGATACTTGGCAGCTGGTCTCCTCCTTTATTAATAATATTGCACAATTAGCTGTTATGTAAGGGTTTGTCATTAAATACATTTCTAAGGAGAGTATATCTAAATTCTCCCATTTTACTGAGTGAGGAACTTAAAGTCTAGAAAACGGAAGTAATTATTCACAGAGCCTGGAGAGGAAATTGAGTCCAGAATTCTGTATAATAGACCATGGTAACATGTCCTAAAATAACCATTGCATTTCAGATATGCCTCTGTTGTTCTGCAGTCCAAAGAAACAAAGTATCTGTTGCTCTTCTTTTTAACTAACTATCCCTCTTTCTTTTTTCCAGCTAATATCTTGGAGCCAGGACTTGAAAACACAGATGACTTGTGCCCAGCAAAGTTTTTGGTAAGTCAGTTAAATTTCAGACCTGAACAAAAGGAGTATGATCAGTGATCCTGCTGCAAGGCTTTACTCACTAGTCAGTTAGTTGCAGCAGAGCGGGAAGCATACATACAGCTGTTCAGTCAGACATTACTATTACTGTGTTTGTGACAACAGGTAAAATTGTGGCTTCCAACAGGCTATCAGGGAAGACTTAGCCTACTGCGAGGAAGGTGCAGAGGAGGAAACTGTGCCAGGAAAATGGTGTCGTTGGAGCCGAGAATGCAGAAACCCCTTTATTTGCTCTGTGACTCCAGGTCTCAGCCCAGCTCTTTGAAATTGGAACTGTCAGTACTCAGCACAAGAGTAATAACATGTTGCCACAACAGCATTGTTTGTTCCTGTTGATATCCTTGTGCAAAACACAAATCTTAAATCTTGGCTCAGAGCAGCTAAATCAATTCAGTCTCCTCTGAAACCTCTTGCTTCTGTGGGGCCCTTACACAGTATGGAGATGCTGAACCAGATGCTGACAGGTCTGTTGTTGTGCACAGTTTGTGTCTTTTTTGTTTCTGTCATGAGTAAACTCAGTGGTCCTGGTCTTGTTCTTGTCAGACTAATCCCTCCTGTGATGGGTACTCTCTGAGGTCAAGGGGAGTTGCTTGTGCCTACTGGCCTTCAAAGCTTAGTCCTCTGAATTCAGGGAGGTCTTTGCTGTTAACTACACTGGAATCAGGAGCTACAGCCTGATTTTGTTTACTTCTGTAGTTAAATCTGAGTAGGGAATCCCTGTATTCATGCGTTCTTTCAGTCCATGGGTACTAAAGCAGGCAGCATCAGCCGCAAAGCATTGGTTAAAAAGACAACTTCCCATTGTGTGTAAATCAAGATTGCCACCATCAGTTAAAGTCAGAAAATGGGATGGTTGGAGAAGGGCTTGTGGGGTCTTGCAGCTGTTTTCACATCTGCTCTCAAATAGAATTTCTTCAATTAGTGGCTAGGATTTTATGCAGGTAAACTTGGAAGAAATCAAGTTGCACAAATGCCTTTTTTTTTCCCAGGAGCTGCCATAAGTTGCATTACTGCATGTTATTTCATTCCTCTTTTTCTCTCTCTGTGGAACTGCAGAAGTGACAGTGCTTTAAATGGAAAGATTTGCAGCAAGTCATCAGTCATTGTACATGGAGGATATATCTCCTGGTTTAGTCTTGCTTGTGCTTTCATAAATCAGCATAGCTAAAATATTTGTGGTTGTCTGTAGGAGATTTATGCAGGTGGGAGATTAGAGTCAGTCTGTCATTTTTGTGTGGGAAGTGAGAGATGGAACGGGCTGGGGAATGCTGACTTGCAGGAAGGAAGGATTTATAATAATGTCAGTGGATATTTAGGGGTTCCACAGAGGCAGTTAGCAAAAAATCTCTGTGTGTACATGTGTACACATCTCTCTGATTTGGAACCAGGCTGTTGTTTCCCTGCATCACCTTTTAGTTAGTCTAGTCAGAGAGACTCATTGTATGGAAAAATTTCTTGTCTCAGATCTGCCTTCAGACTTGGTTTTGGTGGGATTTTGTTTGGTTGGTTTGGGTTATTTTTCCCCTTAGGTCCAAAATGTTCTGTATGTGCGTGTGTCTTCCTTTTGCTGGCATATGCCTATCGTGCAAATTGATTGTATGAATAATTGTGTCAGGTTAAAAAGATCTTACAGACTGCCTCTTGACACAAAATCACTGAATGTAGGCTTAGGTACCTTTGCTAATAATTGTGACTGTGTAAGTTCATCTGAACAGGGGATGAAGAAGAAGGAGGGGCATGAGAAATATGTGTTCTAATACTGGCAGCAAAATCCAGGTCACATTCTCAATTGCTGTGACATTGTATGACTCCACTGACCCTAATGTTTCACTAGTGCATAGTGGCTGTGAATGTGGCCCCTGACTTCCGTGGAGATATGCTGATTTACACCAGCTGATATCCTGACACCGTTTCTGTGTGGCAGAAGCAGCCCACCAGGAGCAGTAGGGATGGAATAGCTGTAAGAGTCCTCTAGGCCTCTGCCAGTTAATCTTCCCTTTGTGGGCTCAGGCAGAGGCCAGGACTAAGCTGTGTGAAGGTCATCACTGCAGCTTCTCTTTTGCATCATTACTAATGAAATCAACCTTGTTCCTAAGTGCTTGCTAGTTTAGGCAAAGTTCAGCAGACAGTGGGGGAGGCTGCAGAGCCCCAAAACCGAAGCCAAAGTGAAAGTGTTTTGTTAAGCTAAAATAAGTCTCCAGTGCTTTAATAATAGAGGAGAGATGCTTTGCTAGTACAGTTCAGGGCGAAAAAATATAATAAAAGGAAGTATCAGCAGCTTTGTTGAAGTAGCATTGCTGTACGCTGTCACCATCATGCATTCTATTAAGCTGAAGTAAAAATAATTTCCAGGGATGTGTGTAATATGAAGGGACAGAGATACTAGTCTTAAATCAGACTTTTTTTTTTTTTTCTGTTTTCCGTCTTTGCCAAGTCCCTATAAATCTTTGCAGTTGTAGAGACAGCCTAAAAAACTGCTAACGTTTTCAACTACAGAGCATAACACTGAATAAGGATAGTTGAAAAATTTCTGTCAAAACTGTGTTTAATGGAAAATAGAGTTTTGATAAAATAGCATTTTCACCAAAAATAGCTGCTTTCCACGGAGAATGTTAGTTTTTCACTGCAATATTTTGACAGAAATTTTAAAATCTTGGGCTGAAATACGTACAGCTGTTCAAGTCCGTCTAGTGCCACTCACATTTCTTCACCTCCTCAAATTTGAGGTATTTTGCCAACTCTTTGGTTTTTAACATTGTGATACTTCAGAGTTTTTGTCAAGCCCACCTCTAGATTCATGCCATGGGACTATTAGCTTCGTGTTTAAAAGCTGAGTTTCTATGGTGTTTGAAGTTGGAGGAAAAAAACCTCTTAAAAATGCAATTTAAGAACATGAGGAAATAGAAAACAAAGGAAGCAAATGAAAACTTTGTTTTCTTGTTTCAAATAACTCTCAAGATTTTTAAGCCATTTAAAAAATATAGAAAGTGTTTCACGGTCTGATTATTTTGAATATATTTCTCTGATAGTGCTTTTTTGTGTAAGATTTAAATGTATGATTTGTTAACCAAATTATGTAAAGAATGTTATAAAAAAAAAAAAAAAAAAAACACAAGAAAAACACAAAACCAAAACCACCTTAATTCTCTGCTGTGAAGTGAGGGATACTGATGTCTCCCTTGCCAGGCTGTGGTAAAATTTTTTGGAAGTATGTAAACCATTGTGTGATCTTAATACGTCTATGTACACAACTAATTGTGTTTAGTAGCAGAGATCAGCAAGCATCAAAGAGCTCTGATGTAGCAGCTCGAGATGAACACGGGGCTGGCGGGGTAGGAGTTGGCGTGCAGACCCATCGTGAGGGGGATGACACACGGATGCTTATTCCGTTCGGTAGCTATGAGGAAGGCTGTGATACCAGCTCCTTAGCCCTGTTTCTCTCCTTGCTGGCTAAATTAAATCAACATGAGAACAGATACACAGTGTCAGGCAAAATATTTGTCTAGCCTAATATCCTGCCTCAGTGAATTGCTCATGTCATATGCCCAGGGAAGAGGAGGAGAGCAGAGCAAAAGTACAGTGATACCCACCCAGTATAACTCCCCATCTCCATGTTTCAAGGCCTTGAGTCGAAAGTGCTGCTTTTTATTTAGGGTTTGATGATGTTTCTTCTTCTGTTTGTCAAATTGCTTTTTAAATTTTAGCATCTGCAACATGCTAGGCAAGGAGTTGCAGTTTACTTAACTGCTCTCTAGCATAGAAATTGTTCTGTGTCTTTACCTATCCTTTGCTTCATATTCTGCACCTTTTCCAGTTCTACTATTTTTTTTTTTTTTTTTAAATGGGGGGAAGAGGGCAGTACTGGATCTGAATGTGGGCATACTCATAAATTTACCTAGTGATGTAAAAATGCTATCTGTTTTGTTTTCCTGTTCTAGTGATTCCTCACATTGTTTCCCTTTCTGAACATCATTGGGTATTACGCTGTTTTCATAGAACTTTTTGTTACAACCCAAAGATGTAGCTGCATGGCAACTAGAATTGGTTTCTCTCTCTGTGTTAAAATGACACCTTTATTGTACTGATCAAAAGGGGCTAAGAGGGTGAAGAAGGTGAAAAGGAGGAAAAGAGAAGCCTCAGAGATTTGTGGGCAGGAAGCATTGTTTTGTCTGTGCTTTTACTAGCAGAGACACTTAACATTTCTCATTATAGCTGGTATTGATTGGTGCTTTGAGATCCCTTTTTTAATTCAAGAGTTAAGATCTTCTGCCAGTGGTGTTTGAATTGAATCTGCCAGCTGTGTGAAGGTACTGTTGTCATTGTTTATTCCAGGACAATAGTAGAGTGAGGGTGTAGAATAAAGGTCTGATGCACATACGGCTTTCTAAGAAGTGCTAAATGGTTCTTGTTCCAGGCTGGACCTGGGATCCCTTTTAGGAAGTATTGTTAACTGTAGCATTAATTTCTGCCATAATAAAGTCTTTTGTTTGTTTGTTTCTCATGGGTTCTCTGTTTAGAAGCTAGTGCCCAAGTAGCAAAACTTTATTCTAGTAAGCATCTGGAAATCTTAGGCTCTGTCCATACTAGTAAAATCAAGGATGCCTGGGAATGTTCCCAGGAATGTTCCTCAAGCATAGAACATGATACTGTACTACTGAAGTGCTGGAATGTTTCTTGGCAGAATTTTGGCACTTGCCAGCTAGTATTTTTCTAAACTGTTCCCAGGTATGGTTTGAAGTTGGAGACCATTCCCAATAAGTAGTCTACATGCAGTCACCCTGTCTTAGAGATTTGAGAGAGATTTCTAATAGATGTGTGAGCCATTCTCTGTCAGCTGCCCTTGGTGTTTGGGAATGTTCCTATGCACATTCAATTTACCAGTGTAAATATCTGTTACACAAAGTTAAAATCTGGCTAACTACCCTCCCCCTTTTGCTTTTCATGTCACATTT